TGGCTGTCTGACTGTTTGAGCCAGTGGAAGCATGTCGATGAGGCGCCATATCTTGTCGACGTTGAGCCGCACCAGCGCAGGCACAACGGGACGGCTGAGGACACAGCATCTGAAGACGGCCGACCGACACTGCGATTGCTGGGCTTGGACGGCGAGGAGCAGATCTTGGAGGACGATTCGGACGACGGGGAAGAAGACTTTGCACCTGATGACAACGGCCCCATGAGTCCCATTGAGACACTCGAAGGCTTCAACTGGGGAAGCGTCGACGATGAGCTCAATGAGTTCATGGCCGGCGACAGCGACTCTGAAGGGACGGACGGGGAGTCCCGCGCTGACGACGAAGATGGCGACAGCTCGGATGCTGAGTCTACCTCGCATTCGGGCACCAAACGCAAAGCCGAGGACACCGAAGACGAGTCTGAGGATGGTTCCGCCCTCGCGAAGCGCCAGCGAGTCGCAAAAGACCGCGGCGCCTCCAAGCTCAGTGCCGTCCGCACTTCAGGCGGCAGCGGCACCGGAGAAGAGACGGCCGAGTCCAGCAGCTTGCCCACACCGCAGGTCACAGGCGACGAGGACAACCTTGCATTCACCAATGGAGCCAGTCAGGCCGCGAGCCAGGCCGACACCGATGACCTCGACCTCGAGGCAGCAATGGAAGCCGAGATGGAGAAGGAACTGGCCGCCGCCGCTGGCTAGAGGACGCCGTTGGCCGCCTGTTGAGGCGAAGGAGGCGAGGCGGGACACGAGACACGAGGCACGCGGCCACACGCTGGTGCAAGTGCGATTGGACAATGGGATCAGTTTTTTTTATACCCCGTCTCGCGTTGCAGGCAGGCATGGCAAAGGGGGAACACACGGCGCGGCGCAGGCGTTTGACTGGGCTTGGCTTCCTGGGGGCGTTGATACTTGTTGATTTGGTGTTGGAAGCGTGCAAGTGTAGATGTATAATTGAAGTACCACATGGTATGTGTATTTCTCGAATGACTTTCTTGTTAAGTGATGTGAGTGAGGATGGTGGGATCATGACTATTTGAGTTTGTGCGCAATGATGTTCACGATGCATTTATCAAGGCTCTGTCAAGTACGTGCGTTTGGGTCACTCAACAGAGCGCCATGTTGGCGTGGGATGGGAATGACTCTTTTAGCAGTACTCAAGACAACGATTAAATTCTCATACACCTGGAAATCCGTTGGCCCCGCAGTTGCTTCATCTAGCTACCTCTGACGATGATCCTAATCGCGGAAAGCCGGGAGCTACCTCTCGTTGAGTCCAGGTCGGTGAGCCGGCGCGCTTCGGTGAGGAAGATGAACATCTGTTGGGGGCCCGCCAGTGTGTTTGTCCAATCAGCATCTTCCTTATGTAATCCCAAAAACAACCTCAGAGCAAGCTCAACCTCCATCATCGACCACTACAATCGTATCACGACCTCCCCTCCACGCCAATTGCCTACTCTGAGTGCGCTGCATCGACCGCAGCGACCCTGAAACCCGAAGACCGACCGAATCCCGAGAGACGCGCGACATCGACATACCGCCATCATGCCCCAGGACATGCCGCCCGTGGGCGGCTACAATGCCGTTCAATACAAGGTGGGTTTACCGATCGATCTCGTCGTGGCCGACAGCGATGCCAATCGGGCTCAATATAGGCGTCAATGCCTCTTGAGCACCAATGAACTTCTACGAGACTCCGCATCAAGCCCCAGGCGCCCATACAGACTTCTCCCCGAGCAACGCCGGCTAACGCTTCCCCTAGCGCAACCTCCCCGCCCGCGGCTTCCGCCCTGGAATCCTCCTCCTCGGAATGGGCGCCGTCATGGGCTACGGCTGGTACAAGCTGATCAAGGGCATCCGCGAGGCCAAGTGCGTCCTCGTTTCCCCCTCGCTGCTTTGTCTCGTCTTGCTTCGGCTGCGTAGCTTGGAGTCGTTGACCAATCCTCCCTCGAACGAAAAGCTAACCACCATGCCAGCGAGCTCGCCCGTGAGAAGATGTGGGCGCGCATTCACCTCATTCCTCTCCTCCAGGCCGAGGAGGACCGTGACCAGATCCGCCGATGGTACGCCGACCAGGCGCGCGAGAAGGAGCTGCTGGGCGAGAACACGCGTGTGTACCACACGGACAGGTAGGACTGATAGGGCGGCTGGCTGTAGAGGTTTTGTGCTAACGAGGCGCAGGTTTGTCCGACCCACGTTCGCTGTTGCGCCGGAGAAGACGAAATAGACGGGAGGCCGGGTCGGGACAGGAGACTGTTGGGGAATATGAAAGAGAAAGAGCCATATCGGGCGCGAAGCGGTTGAAGAAGGGACGACAAGATCAGAGACTGTGCTTCAATGCGTTGGAATACGCAGCGAGCCGTGTACATATGGTAGTACGGAGAATGGACATCGTTCAAACTACGGGGTTGTTTGTTCTTGGGGCGTCTTCACATCGCCTTGGGGTATCGGATATCGAGAAGCTGACAACAGATGACGATGGTCGACCACGTTTGAACGAAGACAAGCCGAAAAAAATCCTACGAAAGACTAAATGTGTGGGAAGGGCACCGAACTGAAAACATTCATCTGACGCCTCGAGACAATACTGGATACTATTCTCGGCCGCGACCCCTGACAGAAACGATTTCTGGCATACGGTGGGCGAGGCAGAAGCTATCAGCGATGGAAAACGAGGGGCGACAGTGATGATGGGTGCGATGACGTGGTTTAAGGCGGTCACATGTTCGATTTCCATTCGTGTTATGGAGCACAGCCAGGGATTCGCCCTTCATCTCAGTGTGGATGTCTCGGCAAGGGCGAGCACTTCTGACGACCAACGCACACATAAATGGATCCGTTCTCACGGACATGAACAGCATCCATCAAGCTGTTTAGCCAGGACATTGTCACCAGACGAATGACAACGAAATGATAGGAATGCTGGAGCCAACTGCTACCCCCTTTCTTTAGTTCCCTCGTGCATAAGTACTCGTCTTGATGTTAGATGATATGCTGACTTCGCATGAACATATATGCCAACAGTATTGGAGACTTGGGCGAAAGATGTCGATGATCTCGCGCGTCAGTCTTGATGGATTTTTTAACGTGTCCCAAGCTCTACAGCGTTTTCCGCACATTTGTCGACGGTATGGAACCCTGACGACGAGCCTAAAGTATGATGAAAAGTTTGCGGCGCTCGATAAGAAGCACTATAAGAAACATCAAGCCAGTCACGGACCAGGCGAGGCATGCAACATGCGTCCCGCCCTAGCTTCGCGGTCACGAAAGTACTACCGTTCAAGGCAGGCCTAAATTGCCTCAACTGGCGATGGCGGCAGCACCCTAAAACTTAAAGCGAAACGAAACAATTATCTTGCAAATTTATATCAGCACGCCTGACACTCATTCAGGACTTTTCAGTCAGGTTTCACATTCGCGCGTCTCACTGATGAACTAATCATTCTACTGCCGTGTGCCGTTGGGATCCGCTTGAGAGGCGCCTGATACATGACCCAATTGACAGCCCGCATCGTCGTCAGAAGTCAAACAAAGGATCACCACAATCAATTTACAACAATCATCACCTGTTGCTTCCGAAATCCAGAGCCTGCAACATGGCTGTTGAGACTACTGTCAAACTCGCGGTCCTTATTGATGCCGACAATGTCTCCCCGGCCATGGCGGCACCGCTTCTCGCCGAAGTCGCCAAGTTCGGCACGGCGTTCGCCCGACGAGCCTACGGCGACTGGACTGGCAACAGTCTTCGAAGCTGGAAGGAGCAGCTGCTTTACGCAGTCGATTCAGCCCGTCCAACAATTCGCGTACACGTCGGGCAAAAATGCGACCGACTCGGCCATGATTATCGACGCCATGGACCTGCTGTACACAAATCGCTTCGACGGTTTCTGCTTGGCATCGAGTGACAGCGATTTTACCCGTCTGGCGGCCCGCATCCGCGAGTCGGGCCTGGTCGTGTATGGCTTCGGCGAGCGCAAGACGCCGAAGCCATTTGTCGCAGCGTGCGACAAGTTTACTCACTTTGAGAACATTCTCTACAATGACGAGCAGCTCGTGGCCGTGCAGCCGTCATTGCCAGCGGTAGCTACAGTGCCGACAGCTAAGGCGAACAACAGCAATGCTGTTCTGGCTCAGCGATCGTCACAAGCAGTGCCGTTATTGAAGAACGAGGCCCAACTGGCAAAGCAGTTGCGCATGGCCATCGAGGCAGCTTCAGACGAAGAAGGGTGGGCCAACCTAGCCAAGGTTGGCGGTCTCATCACGAAGCAGCATCCCGACTTTGATCCGCGAACGTACGGCTTCACCAAGCTTAGCGAACTCGTCATTGCGACCGAGTTATTTCACATCGACAGACGGAGCCCAGGTGCTGGAAAGCCAATGGTCATCTACGCTAGGGACAAGCGGCAGCGGCGTTTCGGCGCACTTAGTCAAGGCTCTTGATGGCCCTTCGTCGATGAACTATGGGAGGGTATGCATGCATTATGGAGGGGAGAAACTGGTCGTAATAAAAGCCAAGGATGAAGGGGTATTTCAGCCCTACCGCTATCTGGTTCGAAAGCCTCGCGCTGTCTTCATCAAATGGTGGCAACAAGTGGAAGAGAGATCTTTCTCTTTTGACTGACAAGGGGAAAAGTAGTCGGACTTCACTGGCACCACCATGATTGTAATGAATCGCTTGAGATTTCTTACCGAGTAGAGATGAGCGCCATCAGGTAATAGCTGTCTGCCACCTAAAGACTTCCACTAACTTACATTCTTTCGTGTTCCTATCTCGTCTCTGACCATGACGGCCATCCGAGGCTTAACACCCATCTGCCATGACATGTCATTCACTCGACTCTCTCGAAGATGATGGGATCGAAAGGCGCTTCGGGAAGCAGATCCCCATTGGTATTTCCATCCAGCTCCCTCAAAGCCCGCGTGCCATCGGCCTTTTCCGCGAAGTACTGCTCTCCGAGCCGTGTCTTGTACGTGCTGAAGACATTGGCGGCAAGCAAACGCATCTCAGCCCAGGCAAGGCTGTACCCGTTAGCAGATTGGTACCCCGTCAAAGACTACAAGACTCACTGCATGCCGATGCACATCCTTGGGCCACTTCCGAATGGCCAGAAACTCTTCTGCATCTCCTTGAATTGTGGACTGGCCCTCGGAATATCCCATCGTTCGGGATTCCAGTCATTGGGCTCATGGAAAACGTCGGGATCCATGTGGAGGCTGATTGACTGTACCGAGACTTGTGCCTACATGTTGGTCAGCTTGGTGAGCCATCACAATCTTGAAGGCTAGGCCACTGACTCCGCCTGGGACGAAGTGCCCATCAATTGTCATGCCGCCGCTGGGAGCCTCCCGAGTCAGGGAAACAGGGGCCGGTGGATGCCGTCGAAGGGTTTCGCGGAGCACGCAGTCTAGGTAGGTAAGCTTGTTGAGGTCATGGACATTAGGTGGTGATTCCGGCGTGATACTGGCCGCACGAAGCTCTTGCTGAAGACGCTGTTGACGAAGGGCGTTTTCGGGGCGCGACAGCTCATAAAGCAACCAGAAGAGCGCGTCCGGGGTCGTGGAGGATCCTACAAGTTGTTTGTAAGCGGACGCAAGATGCAAGAGGAGATGGTGCTTACCGGCCAGCCAGTGATCCAGGGCTTCGCCTGCAATGTACTTGACATCAGGCACGGTCTCTGAGCTGCCATTTGCCTTTTGGTGTCTCGCGAGCTGCAACGCCACCGGTATGTGCTCGCCATCTGAGCTCTCGACGTCAAGTTTCAAAGCCTTTGGCGTGGCCTCGAGAGCCCATCTCTGGGTATCCGTCATGGTAATGAACCAAGAAGGGAACATCCCCTCCAGCACTTTGCTCATGCCTATCGACGTGAGCCATGAGCGCCGAAACAGGCAAGGAACTACTCACGAGGGAACCACACCATCATCAAAACCCCCAACGAAGCAACCTCCTCCTCTGTCTGGCTCGATCTTAAATAATACGACATGCTCTCCCTCTGGCCCTCCTTATCTCCCAGCAAGTCTAACCCACCAGCATCACCGAATGAGATTCTAGACATGATGTCTGCAGCCAGCCACCGCAACTGCGGCCACACATCAACCCCACGGCTGCCCGCTGCCGTCCTCTCCGTCTCGACATTGCTCATGAACCTAGCAACAAGCTCGCGAAGCATCTCTTGCACAGCAGTTCCCCCCACAACTGGCACGGAATACCCCGCGGCGACGGCCTTCCTCCGCAGAAAGTGCAGGTCCCCGCACCGCGTGCTGACTAGGTTCTGTTGACCAAACTGTTCCAAAAGCATTGCGTCGCCGCGAGGCCGATCGAGCCGGGGCTTGTGATTGTAGATATCCCTCACTGCGCGCGGTGATGCGAAGCAGAATGTGTTGGGACCGATCTGCACCGCTGGTCCGTATTGCTGGTGTAGTGAATGGATCATCGCGGTTCGTTTGCCTTCTCACTCGTCAATATTGGCTGGGGAGAAGCAGAGGAGGCCACAGTATGCAGGACAAGGGGTTAGCTTGCAGGGACAGCTTACCTTTGAGGTCGAATCTTGCCATCCAGAGATCCGTCATCTTGGCCCAGAACGGACCGGGAACGTTGGAACGAGATGACATGACGTCGGGAGGTCAGGAACGTGAGAGACCGTCCACTTGAATGAAGATCAAAGGAGAGACAGACAGGTGATGGGGAAATGCGAAAGAGTCAAACAGGCAACTGTGTCTGCTTCTGTGTGTAGCTTGAACATACAGCAAAGAAGAAAAGAAGCCCGGCTCGAACAGGCCTGGGGAACCCTCGGCCTCCCTTTATTAATGGTACTGCGACTTCGTAACTGTCCGCAGTGCGAACCTCAGTCACCAAGAGCCCGTGTTTTAGGCTGCCGCTAAAGCCACCACGGACCCGGCCACGCCCGGTACCCTACCGCGACTCCGGGCTTCGGCCCCTGCGGGATCCGTGTTCGTATTCTCTAGACAAACACCACAGCCACCACGCATGTCTCCATGTAATCATATTATTAGCAATACCTCTATCAGTTCCGTCATGACTGTCGTGATCGGGCACCGCAAACAAGCCTCGTAACCCAAACGCCTAGCCAAATTTATGAGAACAAACATCCATATCAGGCTGGCGACGCCAGCCAATCGTCTCGTACCTCCTCACATAGGCTCCCACGAATCGGCTCGCTAAGCAGCAACTTGCGATCCGGGGCTACTGCCCAGCACCTTGCTGCCTAAACTCTTGCTATCGGCTCTCAGGGTTCCCATGCCGGGGACATGCCCGCCGCTGGCAGATGCATGCATTGCCGAAAGCCGCTGTGTGACGATGTCCGGGTCCGGCTCGTCACCGCCGATAAAGGTCCAACTCTCCTCCTCCTCATCCGCATCTGCATCGGGGTCCGATCCCGTCCTCGCGTCAGCCTGCTGGCCTTGGGCTCCCTTTGCGGTTCTTGTCGCCCTTGCGCTTGACGAGGCTTGTGGCGTACTCCATATCGCGGGAAATGCACTGGATGGCGCTCTCGACACCGTTTTCCTGCAAGTGTTAGTAATCGTTGACTCTGACTTGACGTGGCTTATCAAAACGTACCTTGCGAATTTGCTCGCCCAGCACGCGCGCCTTGATGATCATGCGCTCGTTGTGCGTCGCCTCCACAGAGCACGCGCGAAGCTGGTGGCTCCCCACTTCTTCAGACAGATACCAACCCCAATGTCCTCAACCCGGTTACCGAAGAAGAATTGGTCGCCAAAGAACGGACGGATGATTGTCGGGATGCCTGCGCGTAGACTCGCGCCCGTAGTTCCGCTGCCGCCATGATGCGCCGCGGCGTCAATCTGTGAGAACAGCCAGTCGTGCGGCGCGCTCTTAATGACGTGAATCTCGGGTGGCATGACCGGCTCCTCGCGCTTGGATGTTGCAGCAGCATCATCAGTGCCGGCATCGCCGCTGCTTGCCACACGGTCTGACCAGCCCTTGGAAAGGATGCAGCGCACGTCGGCCTTGAGCACAGCATCAATGACCTCCTGCGTCATCTTGGCTGTGTCGTTGACAATAATGGAGCCAAACCCAACGTAGACGAGCTTCTTATCGTCGGCGCGCGCCTGAGCAATAAAGTCCGTCAGCTCCTTGGGCGGTTCCCACTTGGTAGCTTCGTCCAGGAACCAGTATCCTGTAACGCGAATCCAGTCGGAAAAGTCGAGCGGCGGCGCCACGACCGAGGGCGAGAAATTGTACAAGAAAGGGACCTTGTTCGGCTGCATCTTTTCGAGGTTCGTGTTTGGCAGCTTGAGCGTCTTGTTCCTCCAGCGGTTGACCTGTCCTGCCGTCGCCTTCCAGAAGATATTGTCGAACATGATGTACGTCATGTAGTTATAGGCACCGCCCAATTTCGACTCGGGCACAACAAAGGCGTGTGGGTACGCTCGCGTCCGCGTCCACGGCATTGTGAAGGCTCGGAAGTATGGGATGCCCAAGGCTTCGGCAACATGAATGCCCGCCATGGCACTCGGGCTCTCAATCAGCAGGTCCGATCCCTGGCAAGCCTCCCAAGCTGAAACAAGAAGTTCGTCCAGCCAGCCACGGAACATTGAGTTGGCTTCGCGAATGAAAGAAAATGTGAAAGTGCCGTTTTCAATGCACAGCCGCATGAGCTCACCGGGATCGCCTTCGACCTTAGCGAACTCGATCCCATGACTTTCGACCCACGGCTGGAACTCGGCATGTGTTGCGATGCGCGGCCTGTGACCCTCGGCGATGAGCCCCTTGCACAAAGCAATGTATGGCTGCACGTCACCCCGCGAACCAATAGTCAGGCAGGTGACCTTAAGCGACTGTGCGGGCTTGAAGTTGAGGAAAGATGCCTTGGGATCATCGAAAAGAATCGTCGGAGCGTCGCTGAGGCAGGATGTCTGCTCGGGCAGCTTGACCTCGTGATCGTGGAACTCATCCTGCCGAGCCTCCTTGAGGGCTTCCCTCTCAGCCAGCGCATACTCAGCATCCTCCTTGTCCTCACGGTTGAGCATACCGGAGTTATGTAGGAAGCGCGACCGCTCGACACTCTTCAGGAGATGGCCGAAGCAATCCTCGCGCGCGTCGCGCTGACTGAATTCGAAAAATACCTCCTCATGACCGCGGATGACTAAAACCAACCCAGAGTATCCAAATCGAAATCCCTTCTCCTTATCTACATTCTCAATATCCTTGAGAGGGAGAATGAGCTTGGTTCGTGTTCCAGGGAGGAGGCTTCGGAAACACAGGAAACGGTCGCTGATGTAAATCTTGCCATATAGCGGTAACACCTGGAATAGGAAGCCATAGTACGTCACCTGCAGCTTCTCAGTCTCAGGCAGCGCGAAGTGCGCGCGGAACCGCTCTGTCGATAATTGGACCCTCCCCTCCGAATCCTCATACAAATCCTCGTCATCCGTACGCGTTTCGGGCGGCGCATCGTAGTGCTTCCGGTTGCCCTTCCACATACCAGACACCTTTTCAACGTAGCCCATGGATTCCGTCGCCAACATAGAGCTCATGCGGCGGCTTGAACTGTTAAGGTACTCGGCAAAGGCACCGACCCGCTGCAGGGGATAGGCGCCCATCTTCGTGATGCTCTGCAGGGAGGGGCCTTTGTTGGGATCATCGGCTATAGAGCCTGTTGTGGCAGCGTGTTGGCCGGAATATGTTGCAAGAGCAGGAGGTGATTGAGTTCCTTGGACCGTCTTCTTAGACGACTGCCGTGTGCGCGATCCCGAGCGGCGCATGGTCGGGCTCTGGAAAACGTCACTACGATGTAGAATCTGACTAGCTGAGGCATCTTCATTGGATGAGGCCGCCATGGCAGAGAAGCTAGGATCCTCCATCGATGACTGGACGTATGAATCGGATGACTCGTTCTTGTCGACCGTGTTGCGTGAATCCTCCAGTCGGTTTCGGCTGTGCGAGCGGCTGCCACTGAAGCTGCGGCGCGGAGAGGCATCACGAGTGACGCTCGACAAATCAAGGCTTTTGCGGCCAAAGACCCTGAAAGCATCCATGCTGGGCCTGGCCACATCGGCACTGGGTCGAGGACTCGGTCCGAGAGGACTTGTCGGTGACATGGGCGACAACGTAGCCTTGACATTTTCGGGCAGTCTGGCAATGCCAATCTTATCAGGGCCTATACTGCGTCGGTTTGCGGCAATCGACGTCCGCGCAGATGCACCCTTGGGTAAATCTGCGGGATCCTTCGTCTCGGCCGACGCACCCTCAAACATGATTTTCAACACGTTGATGGCTTCCTTGCCAAAGCTGAAAAATGAGAAGAAGTACTCGTCAATAGCGTATGTCTCGTCATTGTCGATGACGCGAATCTTGCAGGTGTCGGCAAACTGCAACATCTGACTGTCTTCAATGTCAATAACATTCTCGATGGGCATGGAAATCTTGACGCTATCGCCGTCATTGTGGGATCGGAAGATGACGCGCTGCAGGCTCTTCACCCATTCCTTTGCGCTCGGCGCACTGTCCGCCCGGAAATGATATGTGCGGTGGCTCGTCGTCACTGAAAAGTGCAGGCCGGCCTTATCCTTGTCGGTGATGCTCGCAGAAATGCCGTAGCGTAGATCGATCTGACCGCTGGGAAAGTAGACGTTGGAAGGGTCGCGGTAGTAGGTAAGAACGTCACCCTTCATACGGAACCAGTAGCGGTTGTACTTGGGGTTGCGTTTGCCGGATTTTGAGAGGTAGCCCGACTTGACAACCTCGTGCTGGGTCTGTCAGTGTTTGATAGACGAACGAGGAAGAGGAGAGACATGCGGCTTTCTTAGGAAGATATGCATAGAAACAGATATGCCTGGCTGTAATATACATGTAACCTTGCAAGAGTACGCTCTGGAGGAGCCAGCATGGGTATTCTAGGACGAGTTAGCTCCCTGAACATGGCTAAAGAAACAAAGAAGACGGGGCCCAACATACCCTCAATGACCTCCTCCGGCTTGGTGAACTCGAATATCTCGGCCAATCGCAGTGCCAAAGGGCTCGGTCCTAAGTCGCTCGAATCACGGCGAGAATGCTCACTTGTCAGGCGGTCGAGGTCAAAACTCGGCCGCGAAGCCACATCCGCCCGGGCCTCGAGCATACGGCTCATGACGGGCGCTAGTTTATACTGATCCTGGTCCTCCTCAGCCGACTCGTGCAGTGAGGACTGAGGCACGGAGGACTCGCTTGCGTCTTCGGACGGGGGGCTCCAGCTTTGACGATTCTTTCTTGGACCTCCGTTTCCCGAGGCGAGGCAAAGCCTGAAGAGAGCGGGCAATGACGTTGCCTGCCGAGCCGGACCGACGATGACGGCGTTCCTTAGTCGCTTTGGCCCATGACGGTCGTTTTGGACAGGGTTAGATTCTGGCTCCGGCGAAGTGGCTGTGTGCTTGTCAGGCTTTGTCGTCTGGTGGCCCGACTCGTCGTCGTCGTCACTCGATTGGCCCTCGAACCGATCGTGAAAGTCGACTCGCGAACCGGCAGCAGCAATGAGACCAAAGATGCTCTGGTTCATGTTCATGAACATGGGAGGTCCATTTTGGGTGTTACCGGCAGGCATAAGGTCTTCCTCGTCTTCACTGTCATTCCCGCCCTTTAGCCTTTCTGGCAGGTCCATGGCGTAGGTTTCGTTGCGACGTTTTCTTCGAAGCTTCCTGGCCACGCGCCTCTTGGGGTCCTCGTCGGTGGGCGTAGGGGTGGGTTGGGCAGAGTTAGGACTGGCAGTGGTAGGAGAAAGGGCCGTCGAGATGGCTGGTAGGGAGGGATGTGTCGGCGCCATGATAGCGGCTGGTGGCGGGCAGCCGTAGAGGTGTGAAGAGGTATCCGCCGACGAAGGGGGCGTGTCGGAGGAAGGGTCAGACAGGTTGCAGTGACAGGGTCACGATAGGGAGCTGACAGATTTGCAGGCTGACAGCAGGCAGAAGTAGGTAATTTTGGGGATCACCCAGCTCGAGGCACAAAGGTCGAAAAGGATCCGAAATGTCCGGGCACTCGATCAGTCGGTCAAGTTCGGAGGAGGCGGATGGGTGGGTGGTTGGCTTTCGGTAGTTTGCTTTCGATCGGTCAGGCGACTGGACGGTTGGTTGCCTGACTAGGCTGATGATGGGTGCCGGTATATATCAGGGTTGCACGCCTCCATTGGTGATGAGAGATCTGTTGTGGATGTTGGTCTGCAGCAGTTGCCTGTCGAAGCAACAATGGAGAGTCGAGGACCTCAGACACGGACACGCTGGGACCCTGGGAGCTGGAGGAGGGGGCAGGAGCCTGGATGGTCAGCTAAGGGTTGGCGCCATCCGCTGCCGGGCCGGGGGTCAGGGTACCGTCTGAATCATGATTGGCTGTGCGGTCACTCGCTGTGCGTCTTGGTGGGGGTTGTCTCCCCTGTAACGAGCGCTATCAACCATCCCGATAGCGATAACAGCCCAGAATCGAAGCCACTGGCCCTGGGCCATCCGGTACGACTGCCTGGCCAAGCCTATCGACAGCTCCAATGACGACAACTTATCCCCACACGGGCACCACGTCCCTTGAAAGGAACCCACAATGTGCCTCGTGCTACTGGACCCCGTCACAGGGCGCCCTCAGTTTCCCTATCCACCATCACCCGATCTATCACATGTGATCTTTCATGACTCTATCAGCAGGCTGTCCCCTTTTGGATTTCATCCTGATGATATTGATCAGATCATAATCGCATCTGCCCAATGCAGGCGGCGGCTAGCCAAAGATCCCTTCCCTTTTGCTATGAAACGGTGCACAAATAAGCTTATCCTTTTGTGGACCGTTGAGCAGTGCCCCGAATTTAGAACTCAACCTGAGCATTCCCTGCCGCTTGGAAAGCCTCCGCCCCAAGGCCAACCACGTAACGCACCTCAAAGTCGCAAGTTGATCTTCCATGAACAAACCTCAGACCACAGGGATCAGGCCTCAAGCCCTACGATCGATCTAACGGGACCTCACTGAATAAAATGACCACTTCATGCGAGCCATAACAAAAACGAATAAGCGGCTTCATCGTCATCAGTACCTGTCAGTGTAGCTAGAGCAACGAAGGTGAATACAACGCTAGGAGGAAAAACCTGATAGCGAATTCTTGCACTTGAACTTGTCTGTTGATTTCCATTACAAATTCATCGATCAGAATGGAGACCTCTAAATAGCAGCAGGATCGTTGTCGCTTTCTTAATGTGGAGTACTTCGTCCAACATTGTCAACCCTGCCAGCCACCGCAAATGTAGCAACATGCTCTTCACCTGTAGAGTCAGCTCTGAGTGATGAGCCATGCTCATGCACAGCTGCCTTGCTAGGTCTACATCGACATGGTAGAGCCAAAAATCGATCCGCGAACAGCACGACGACATACCAGCCAACCCTTGAACACCCTCGCTTGAAACATCCAAAGAACAAAAACCACTGTTCATACAACATACCATGCGCTTACATCCAGAGCGTCAACTTGCCACTGCCGTTGCCTCCCGCGACCCAGTCCAGGGTAGGGTGAAAGTGCGCCACCGCCGGCACTGCAGTGATGCCATCGCCGTCGAGCTGAGCGATTTGCTCGCCATCCGCTGCAAAGACATCCACGAACCTGTTCATGTTTCCGATCGTGAACTTCTGAATGCCATCTCTTGGCTGTAGCTGCCACTTGGGCTTGAGAATGGTGACCCATCGACCGGTCTGGTTGTTGTGTTTGACCTGCACCGCCGGCGTCATATTATCTGCACCAATGTCGTGGCCCGGCGCCCAGGTGCTGGCAGCAGTAAAGTCATAAATTTTGATCGTGTCGTCGTACGATGATGTGGCGAGATGACCGGCAGGGCTCCACGACGCATAGGAGACAGAAAGCCTGGACTCGTGCTCGCCCAGCAGCGCAGGATGCTGGAGATCGCCTTTGCCGGTTATCTTTCGAAGGTCCCAAATCTTCATCGTTCGGTCGAGTGACGCTGTAGCGACCAGGTGGGGCTGAAGCGGATGCAGAGAGAAGCCGCCGATCTTATTATCAGATAAACTCCAGACTTCGTGCTCGCCTGAAGGTGTTCGGATATCATGACGTCCGAAACCGCCATGAAGTGTCGAAAAGTAGAGTAGATTCGAATCATTGGTCGGCATCTCCATTGCCGACATAGGCATGTCCTCCATTACATCATCGGGGGCAAACACCTGCACAGACATGCCCTTTTCGAGATCGAGCTTTCGGATCGTTGAATCGTAAGAAGACGTGTATACGGCGTTGTCGTCGGCTGGTGAGAAGACAAAGGCCGAGGCTGTCTTTGTATGAAATTTAAAGGCGCTGATGATCGGATCAGGCTCGTCCCACTCCTCGTCCTCGTCTTCAGGAGGTTCCGGAGCCTTCTGAGAGGCATCGAACACGCCGATCGCGCCTTCCTTATCGCCCGCGAAAATAACAGGCTTGTCCTCTGTAGGATGGAAACCGAGGGAGTAGACCCGCTGAGGCGTGATTTTGATAGCTATGGAACGTCAGACACATGTTGCGAGAACCAGAACGAAAAAGAAAAATTGTAATGCGCCAGCATCAAGCGAGAAGAAACGTACTGTTTGGCATCCAACCCTCGTAGAGCTTGAGGCCATCCATGCGTAGCCGTAGGTCTTTCAGGTCTTTGTCGGTCGTATTTTTGATATCGTCCTCCGTGAACGTTCGCTGGCCGGGTTGAGCACCACGGGAAAGCCCCTTAAGGCCCTGTAGACCCTCAAGTCCCGCGCTCCACTTCTTCCCCTCCACAAGGGCATCGCCGAGGTTCAAGTCGCCAGAGAAGCGCATGCGCTTTGCCCTCTCGAGAGGTGACTCGAGTGCCGTGTCTTCAAACGCACGCTTTGCGTCGTCCTTGTCGGGGCCAAGACCGGCGACACGCGAGCTGCGTCGCGTGGCCATGGCTGGTTCGCGCTTGACAGGCGCATCTCGAGTTCTCTTTGACGGTTTCGATGCTCGGGTGGGTGTGGGCTTGGACGCCGGGATAATCTTGCTCGCAGTCGCCGAAATGTCCTTGAGTAGGGCTTGGTTCGCAGCAATGTTCTCGAGACGACGCTTTTCAAAGGCGCTCATAGCAGCGGGGGCCTCTTTTTTGGCTGACACCGGCGGAGATTCGGTTTCAGGTGCCTGCTCATCTCGTGCGAGTTCGTCGGTTTCCGAATCTGAATCCTCCTTGTATTGTGGCTTTGCTTTCACCTCCGTTCTCCCCGTCGATCTCCTGGTGACGGGCATTTTGGATTGCGGGATGAGCCACTTGCGCATTTGGTTTCGGGAAGAAAGTGTCCAGAAAAATAGAGTCGCAGAGGCCACAAAAGAGGAATATACTTCCTGCTGAAGCTAATCGAATCAATGACGAAATTAGGCAGGCGAGGGGAATGAATGATGGGCGCCAGACGAGCAGGCCAGAAGAACGAAGACGCGTTAATTGAATTGGACCAAGCGCGCGGTGACTCGCGACGCGAAGTCATGCGCCAGCGCGTCATGGAAATATTATGTAAGACATGTGACCAGGGTAGAGTATCTCGTCCGTGCCTTGACATCGACAAAGCTTCAGCAAAATTTCGTCGAAGCTGCCTGGTCGACAGCGGACACATCATCGACCACAGCCATCATGTCGACATTACTTCCATTCCTCTACCGTACAAGGACCTTGCAGTGCGCAACATCAAAGACGCCCCTTGCCCTGACCTCGCTGCGATGTTTTCACGCCAGTAGCCTTCGCCAAAACCGACGTTCGCAAGATCGAAACCTCGATACCATTCCCTTCGAGTGGGCGGGAGAGCCCGCAAAAGAACCTCCTAGGTACGAAGGCAACCTCGAAAGCCAAGATGGCACCCGTCGGGAGCGAAACAAGCGTCATGCCTCGACCATTACACCAACCGAGAAGCGAGCCTTCAACGACATATTCGCCGACCTAGCCAAGCGCAGTCGTAATGGCGCCCTGTTTCCGGGTCTCGGTTCCGATGCACCGCAGGACAGTCAAGACCGAACAATGCGAGCTTTGCGAGAAGCTCTGGGGACGCAAAACCAACATATGTCTTCCGCATCGGCCGACGCCGACACCCCTGAGTGGATGCTCAAGTACCCTGCTTCGCTGCGCCGGTCAGTGCGTGCTGCATTGGGCCACCAGACCAGAGTCCAAGAAGACGTTGCAGCAGATGAAATCAAACCAGTCGAGGTTGACCCTCTCGTTCAAGAGCAACTGGCAGCGCAAAAAGAGGCCCGTGAAGCCGAAATTGAGCGATTCGACTCGCTGGTCAAGGAGTGTCGCACTGATCTGGACGTCTGGAACGTTCTGAACCGCGAGGTCTTCTCCATGATCGACAAGCTAGGCGTCGCAGATGTCTCTAATATAGCGGTCGAAGAGACGCAAGAGAAGCTCGACATGAACCTCTATGGCCCTCTATACTCCCAGCACCTTCTCCGGGCTCTGAAAGCCCTTGATACGGAGTTCGCCCGATCGTCGCCCCTCGTCTTCAACCTTCTGCCCCGTGTTCGCGAGCTAGGCTTCGCCTCGTACGTCCTTGGCGCTACGACCAGCTTTTTTAACGAACTGGCCACCGTTTACTGGCGTCGCAACGGCGACGTCCGCGGTGTCATTGGCCTCCTTCAAGAAATGCAGCACGCCGGCCTGAGCTTTGACAAAGGAACGCTCGAACTTGTCAAAGCCATCGAGGCCTCGTTGGATAGCATGGCCAGCGAGTCACAGGGGCCCTTCACGCAGGTGCTAGCCACGATGCCTGACTACAGCTTCGATGTCCGTGCCCAGCTGACTAGCTTGGTGAACAAAATTACCCCCGCTGTGAGGGACGACCGATCTTGAAGACGATGACCGAGGTGCATGCGCATGTTGCCACTACAAAGCCTCGAGGACCATCTCGTTACGCGCTCTATCTTGGGCCATTAGTGATAACACAATGGTCCTAGACGCACAATGGTCCTAGACCCAGTCACAATACCTGTATATCATGCACCATATCACACCATCTTAATGAGCGGAATGTACAATATCCCTATTAAACTTTTTATCTCTTTCCATTCATCTTTGTTTTTGCTTCTTGTGCTCATTTGCCGGTTTCATCTTCAGCCAGCCCTTGACAAGCCACAATTATGAAGCCATTCGGCCAAAGTAACGAATCGAGGCGTCCGCGGTCACAAGATATTGCCCTGGCCCTTGCCCGGGAGTACAGAGCCGCAGCAAGCTATTGGTGTCTGTGTTGTTGCAAAGGCGTTTGAAAGAGGCTTCCCCCTCGAATTGCGGTTATCCTGGCACATAGCTCTCACGACGAAGCACCGGGCGTCTTCATCACTCCATTCGAAGACCCATGCCCGGGTAGTTCCGACAATGCCGGCGAATACAAGGACCCATGCAGCTCTCTCGACTCCGCCTCTCGTGGCTTGTCCCCGACCGCCGCCACCTCATCTGCAAGCACCTTTTTCCGGCGTTGGTGTCGCATCCCCAGCCAAAAGACAAAGGCCAGCACAGCCAGCCCTACGATGGGGCCGGCGACCGCGCCGGCGATCCAGGCCTTGCTGCCCGAGGTTTCTCCTTGGTCCGATTTTGCTTCCTGCGTTTCCGCGGGTGCCACTGATGAGGTTTGCGGATCTGTGTTTGGCGTGGTCGACCGCTTCGGGCTCGGAGTCACAGATGGGATGTCTGTGGGAGCGGGCGGCTCGAGAGATGTCGTCGTCTCTTCGGCAAACGCTCGGTAGATCGTGTGTGCCGACCAGCCTAGTCTACATTTGTAGTTCTTCGCGCTCGGCTTGCCGAAAGGGTAGGTCTCGTAAATTGTCATGGTCTCGCATGCAAAGCTCTCAGCACTAGTCCGTCAGCTGAAGATCGGTCAGTCTTTCGAGGCACCCATACCAGATTCGCTTGTCATTGTTCGCCATGGTGAGGATGTTATTGGTGCAATCGACGGCGAGAACGCACGGGGATGTGCTGCACTCCCCGGCAACTGTGCTGGAGGACGACCAGCTCGTGCCCGATGACAGGGTTAGTCGTTCAGCTGTATGTGTTAGAGAGCCATCGCTATTGATGAGAGTCCAATGACAGTAAGGGAGGGGCCGGCAGACTGGCTGGACCGTCCAGAAAATATCCAATAAACTGAGGATCGTCCGAATCGTCCATGGCAATTTGTTTTTCCAAGCTCTGAAAGCATGCTGCGAGACACGTTCTGACAATGATAGTGGTGATAATACGGAGAAGGATCATCGTCACGAGTAAAGTCTAATATTCAAGAATCAAATCAATTCGCTGTTGATGAGCGCTTCAGGCGAAAAAAACTTCACGAGGAACCGGGGATGAGAATATCTAGGGGAAGGGGGGGCGGGGTGGAAGACAAGCCATCAGGATCAGTTTACCGTTGTAGTATAACATCACATCACATAGAGTGCGGCCGAGCTGAAGGCTCACGGGTAGAAGCAGCTCGATCAGCCAGTGAAATGCAAGACTCTCATGGAATCACAGATATCGCCAAGGAGACAGCCTTGAGCAGCAAGGAGCGGGGCTGACAAGCCTGAATGTCTTGTGACACTGTTAGAGAGCCTCTGACGAAGATAGGAGGATTGTGTCTGTGGCACAAGTGAGAAACGAGGTTACAATTGTGCAACTAAGATTTTGAGGAGTGAACGAGAAGTCAAATGGACCTTAAATTCGGCGCTCCCTTCTGCCTTGTTCGTAGCAACGGATCTGACCAGAGGCTTGTTAGATGATCTCCAGAACCGAGAGCGCAGCCGGAGGCGATCTACGGGGCAATGAAGCAGAGTTTTGAAGACAAAATAGAGTTTGACACCGCCAGCTGTCCCAATCCTCTCGGAGGGTTAGATCCGGCTGCGGGCAGCGGTTCGAACTTCGGCCGTCAGTAAAAGTTTCTAAAGCGTCCACCTCCACTGAAGTGATGCTGCAGTTGCTGGGCTGTGCAAAAATATGACGAACATGACCAATTTAAGATAACCTGTTTTGTTGCCTTGGGCTTTGCCCATTCCTCCCATTGTCAGATCTCAGTCCCCTCCACCTGCATCCTCGCCACCCCCTTTTCTCACGACTGCCCAGCACCTCCGAACCCGAGCGCCTGAGCGTTAACAACGCTGATCAGCCACCGAGCCACCTAGATTGCGAAGACGGCCGATATCTTTCATTGTCCGGATTTCTCGGACGTACACCTGAACCACATGACACGCAACAATATCCTAGCTCGGTGTGAGTGATCGCGTCGGCCGAATCTATACCACGACAACCGCACGGCATCCCCGACTCCACCACTCACAATATCGGTCAATTGACCCAACCGCTTCATATAGTAGTAATAAAGGGCTGCAGAAACATGGATAGTATCCAGCAAAGGTCCTGCCTCTTCTCGGACTCGATCCTTGGCCGCGAGTCACAGCATGCCATTCAAGGTCCCCGCTCTAGCCCAACGGGAAGAGAAAAGACGGTGACCATGGCCAATGCAGTGAAATGGTGAGCAGATCCATGCTGCGCCGGGCATCGTCGCGATTTCATATGACTTTATTAAGGTGCAATCATGAACGCGCATGTCATTGACCACAACATGGTTTGGTGGCCCTGTCCCGACAGCCAAGACACTATCACGAGATGGTTTGGCCGGGGGCTTCCTTGCCCGGGGTCAGGGCCTGGCAGCAAGGTTTCAAGGGACTCCCTCGACCGACCGGGGCAGGGATCATGCTGACCCTCATACCTGGAGCGTCACGTTTAGTGCTTGGCGATGTCCCCATCGATCGTCTTTTGTTGAGTGAACATGTCACTGAATCGTTCACCGCGCACGTCCGCTTCCCGCACCACGATCGCAAACAAAGGATCGTGGCGAGTCAGGATCCAAGCTCGCGAGAATCTTCTTCATTCTGTATTGCGATGTGGTTTGGAAGGATGAGGGCACACTTTCGCGTCGCACATGAATTGTACAAGTCCCCTTTTCAGATATGAAATTCCTCTCCGATGCTCAGGTCGCAGCTTTACTGCCGTCCCCATGCTGAAGTTCTTTGATTCTGCGAACAGGATACCATAGGTAAGGTGTATTTGATCTGTTTCTTCAATGGAAGATGTGGTGTGCTTACAAGCATAAGCCAATACACAGCTGTAAAGCCTTGGTACAAACACATCGGAGGCAAGTAGCAGAAGTTAATCGAGGCAAGAAAATTTTGGGTGTATGTATTCGCTTCAAGACCAAGCCCTCATCTAGGAGGGCTTTCAACCGCTAGCGACCTTTTATGGCCACATCAATGGGAAGTCTGGATGCTCAAACTATGTACAGAAAATTGGCAACACTCAACACGCGAGGGCCTTCTGGCTTTGATCCCGCGCTCACAGAGCGCGTCTTCCAGCCGAGAAACATGGCCGAGCCGTTTAGCAGGCGGGGAGCTTGGAGAGCTTGCCCTGGGCGCCCTGGCAGTTGGCCGTGGTGGAGACCTTGGAAGAGCTGCCGTTGCCCTTGGTCACACCCTTGTACTCCTGGCAGACCTTCTTGGTGGTTCCGCAAGAGTTGCTGATGGTGGCCACATCGCCATAGTTGGAGTTGATGCCGACAAGATCGGAGGTCATGCCGTAGGCCTTGACGTTCTTGACGATAACGTTGCGGGGGCCGCCGTTGCCCGTGCAGTCACCGCAGCCACGGTAAAGCTTGCCGGCGTTGATGACGGTGAAGCCATCGATGGTGACAGTGCCGCGGCCGTTGTGCTGAACGACCTTGTCCTTGGCGTTCTGAGCACCTCCGCCCTTGATGAGCACGTTGCCGTTGCCGAGGGCAGAGATGGCGTCTTGAAGAGAATGTTAGCGAGGGCGATCTTTGAATAGTGTTGTAGAAAGGAAAGGAGGCTTACCCTCGCAGACGTCACGGAACCAGACGTTGGTCAGGGTGCAGGCACCCTTGCAGTGAACACCCTCGAGCTGGTTGGAGCCGATGATGACCTGAGATGTAGGTTAGAGAGAGGGCGTCTTTGCCATGACACTAGAGTCGATACTCACGTTGCTGATGCTGGCACCGTTCTCGAGGATGAAGACAGCAGAGTCAGAGCCGGTATCGGCGTCGGTGTCGCAGGTGCGGCCACGGTCAAATTCCTTGTTGCCGAAGTCCTTGGAGCCGCTGATGGTGGAAGGCTGGGCCAGAGAGACGATGCTGCCAGAGCGGGTAGGGATGTTGAGAGTCTGCGCAGAGGCGACGGCCGAGACGGCGGCGGTGACGGCGAGGGAGAACTTCATTTTGATGGTTGAGGTCTGAAGGTTGTTGTTAAGTTTGTATGTTGAAATAAAGAGTTGGACCGTGGAAAATAGTCAAAGAAGTGAACTGTAGAAGCTGAAGTGTCTTGCTGTCTGGAGAAGTTCTGCTCTTTCGACGGCTGGCCATGACTTCTTATATACATTCTTCCTGGACCTGGACCCCATCATCGCCGCCACCCGGCCATGGCGTTTGATTGACGGACAGACAATTTCCCCAATTCAATTCTCACTCAGTCAGGGCCAAGGGAGGGCTCAAAGCCATCGGACCTGATCCGTCGTCTGGCCATCCCGCCCCGATGTGCTAGCAATCAGCTGTGAAGCTACCAAGCTAACAGAAGCCCACAGGGCCACAGGGGCCAGGACAAGTGCTGTCACGTCACTTAACCTCGAACAATCTAGTCGACGGAAGGCCAGGGGCTCCTGACCAAGAGGGTGAGCCCCTTGGCGGCTGGATTGGTGGAACCTGGGAGGCTGCCTCCGCAAAGGGAACGATGGTAGTTGTGTTGGTGGTCTTCATCCTGTCTCATTCGCCCGGCACCTGGTGCTGGGTGATCCATCTCCGCATTTGGGCGCCCCCCCCGAAGGGTAGTGAGAGCTGGGGTGACCCTCGTGGTTGACCATGGCGGCCCCTGTCACGGTCACTGGGGTTCTGCTGCACCTCTAACCTGCCATCTGGAACTAGGCTCGGAACAATCTCCTAAGCTTGATTCAAGCTCGGGCAGTCCAGTGCGAAGTCCCAAAAGGACATGGGCGAAATGGGGTAGGGGCGAACCTGCTGTTGTGCCTGGTGGTGTCCGTCTCCGCCTCGGGGCCCAGTCCAGACCAGTCCCAGCGACACGAGACATTGGAGCTTCTGTGGGCCTGTCTGCCGGGGGGAAAGCTGACAGTGTGCATGTTTTTAGTTAATTGCATGAATTTTGTATTGCCGGATTACCTGATGGATGACAAGTCTTGGGGGCAACCGTGTCGAAATGCGGGCGTCAATCGGGTGCTGTGCTGTGCAAGCGATGTTCAAACCTTACTCGAGAGAATAAACAACACACGCACGATTTAAGGTGGCAGTAGCATTGCTAGTAGCCCGGGAATCGCTTCCAGAAAACTTAATGTTAGGGAACCTCGATTCCCGCACAAGGGGATCGGTGGATGTAATTGAAGCTTATCTGCGCATGTACCACATGAACCACCCGCCCACGCGTGTGGCAAGGAGCTCAGGCTCGGATCTCGCCCACTTGGCCCCTCCCCTAAAACCCGCCAACACACTCGAAACGTCCTCCAATTTCCAGGCCTCGCCGGCCCCCAAACTCCACAATCAGCAATGGCGCCAAGTACGTGGATATTAATCATTCAGTTCTGGGCCTTTCAAGCCGTCCCGGTGGGTGTTACACAGGATCAGGGGGGCAAGCGCTCGACTCCAAGCCTGGGCGAGCGGGCCTCCAAGCCCTGCCCAGGCCAGCATCGCGGACCTGATGCACCTTGAAAGAGGGCCGGTCCCAAGACATGCTTTTCGCAGAATAACATCGGGCAATTTCAAGATGCTCGGAGGGACAGATCATTTCTGGTCGCATATCCCGGTGCGCCCTTGTCATCAATGCCGGAGCAACGAGGTCGCCGTCTGTCGTAGTCATGTTCTGATATCATGTACCCGGTGTCCTGGTCTTTCGACAGCTGCAGAGACCCATGGCCCGGGATGACCGGTGCAGCTCTGCCAATGATAATTGCAGTGTCGGCCTCGGTCTCGCGTCCAATGCCGCTCCGAGAGCATCAGAGTCAGAGATCTTTCACAGCGTGAACGAAGGAAGAATTTCGTATCCTAGAGTCAGGCAACATCAACACCACACAGCAGCTGCATCGTTCCTTGGACGCCACCGAAGCGCCGGGAAGATCGTTCTCCCAAACACCCATGTCTTGATCCATCTGTTTCTGGCCAAAACGGTTTGATCAATGTGCACGCTACAACGCAAAGCGGGAGACTCGGCGAGTCCACCAGTCTTGCACCGATTTGGTATCTCGGGGCTGTCATCTCAATCGTCTCAACTTGGCTAGTCTTCACTGGTGATGCAACCTCTCACCTCCACACTGGCACACATGATCGAGTGGAGACCTGCAACGGGCCTACAGTATCAGGAGCTGACCTTGTTGGGCCATCTAGTCGACGGAAGAGGTTAGTCAGGAGGAGGAGAGCAAGAAGCACAGTGTTGGTGGTGCGGCAGGAAAACGCCTCTCCCAGGGGTAAACCGATGGTCCCGGCGAAGATGCTTCAATGTACATTTCGAAGACGGGACGGCGTCCCGATGCTGTTCAACGTATTCAGCGGTCAGTGCTCATAGTCCATGGCGTCTGGTTGCTTCTCAGCCTTTGAGATGAAAGCAACTTGCGCCAGGTCAACTCGAGTCAGGCGACTCCGTATTGTCAAGTCGTCTGCACGATGAGTTTGCCAGATACGGACGAGGTCATTGTCAGGTACAATATGATCTCGGTCATCATTGTCCCGGTAATCTCCCGGCTCCGCGTCCAAGCAGCACCCAAAAGCAAATCCAAAACATGGGGTGCAGGGGCGGATTCCCGTGATGTGACGTCTCCGCATTGCCAACCTGCCCAATCTGTACCTGGGGAATTGCGGCCCACGGGCGACACATGTACCGAGCAGGAGGCGGGGGAAAATAACATCCGAGTGCGTGGCACAGGAAAAGTGCAGGACAGCATGCACCCCAAAGAGTTGGGGAAACCATCGCTGCAGAGTTATTTTTCTTTGTTGCTCACTGCCTTGGTTTCCCCAGACCGGCTCCTGCAGCCAGTCAAGATCGTCCCGCATGATGCTTTTCAAGATTTTGAGCCCGTGAACCGATGACTGCACTGCCACGAGGCTATTGTGGGCAATGATGGAAGCATTTTAGCAGAGAACCTGGCCGTCCTAGCATGCAGATCGAAGCCGACTCTCCACCAATCCAGTGACGACTTTGCAGATCTTCATCTCGGCCAGCGTATCGAAAGATCGACGATGCTCAGTCCTCTGCCGATCCGCCCGCCGGTCGTATGCAGTGAATGGTAGCTTGTGACCCTTACGCAGCGCAATTCACGCATGAGATTTTCGGTTGTCATCCGGAGAAACTTCGAATCCCGTTTCCACGACATGACAAGTGAGATGCAGGGAAATATGACATGGCCCTTCCCGTTAGCGCGCGTTAATACCTGAGACCGGAGTATGATACGATACCGATACCTGCAGGATATTCATCCTTAGAACGCATTTCTCGGGTTTCTCTTGGTATTGGTGGAAGTTCATCTTGTGAGCTTCAATACCCCGCGATGCAAAGCGTTCTGTTCAATGAACCAGGGAAGCCAGGAAATTGACTCGGCTTGCAAGGAGATTCGAAGCATCATTGGAGGAAGTTTAGTATTGCAATTGGGTTGAGGTCGTATCGCCAGTATGACAACAGTTCAACATACAGCATGGTTGTTGGTCACTATGGTTCACCCCCTCTCTATGATTAGAGGCTGACCCAACTGACGATGTCAGCATGGGGTGACGCCCTGTCGGTCAGCCAGACTGAGCCGCCTTCGCCGACTATTACGGCTGTGCATCTGTGCACAAGTCAGTGTTGATATTTCTCACTTGAATATATCTCGGCGTGTTGCCTCTTCCTGCCCGTATCTTGATCCGACATGCTTCAATCGAAAATCTGGTCGATATCTTGGCCTGCGGTCACTCGACCATGCACGTGGCTCCTTTGGTTGATCTGACTGTTGAACCGTGCATGGGAAAGTCAATTACAAGCTTTTCGCCCGCTTACCCCGGATTTTCATCAAGCATCAATCAAGTCTCGTGGTGCGGGGCCGCTGGCCAGGAAAAGCCTTCAACGCCGAAAGTTTAAAATGTTTCTTCTTCTCTCGCGATTTTAAAGTTCCGGCCCCTCCCGTCACCCTCCCAAGAATGCAGTGTCGACGTCCCCGCGCAGTGTGGTCCTTGCGGTCTGGGTCTCCGTGCCGATGCCGAAGCCTACTTGGCGCCGTACAGTGAGTACGAAGGAGAATGCGCGTTCCGATCATGCCAAGGTCGGAGACGCTTTGGCGAATTTCAGTTCTTCATTGGTGAGTGCTCCGCAAACCTCGGCGGTGTGCGAAGAGGGCCGCCGCGAAAGATATCCCAGCAGCGGCCGTAGATGCGGCGAATGCATATCTGATACCTTCATAGTAAACGAGGCGGACAGGCAGCCGAACTTCGACTGGCGCTGACTTGAGCGCTGTTACTGAATGGCGTATCTCTTCGATAAGCTAGACGACGTCAATCCTGATTCCACCCATGATAGAGTCCAGCTGTTGAACAGTAGTCGCAGCAAGGTTCGAGTGGAAATCAAAGTGTCACGTACCTGTTCTTTGTTTGGTACGTCACCAAGAACTGCTGGAAGCCTGATACTCAGGGTGGTCTGTACGATAGCAGAGGTGATGGCAACTCCCCAAACCGTTCCCAGCGAGCGAACAAGGTAGACGGTCGAGGCTGAGACGGCATGATCTAAAAGCCAATCAGTTGGAAACCCTTCCGTCATGGCAGCACGAATTGATTGCTTACCTGCATGGTCGAATGAGGCAAGGGTAGTGAAGAGGATCGAAGGGTAGATGATGCCCTGGCCTAAGTTTGCGGGGAAGATGTACAGCAAGTATTTCCATTTGGAATCTTTGAATTGCAAAGACGTCACGAGGCCGTTTCCGAAGAGCATAAGGAGCGCACCCAGCCTGATAAGCCAGATCAATTTGCCCCAACGAGACATGACAATGCCGGCCACGAGCCCTCCTAATGGTGTGGCGAGGGACGGGATCGCCAGCCGGGCTCCTGCTTTCGTAGCAGAATCGAGCAAAACCACTTGAAAGAATAGGGGCAGCATGAACAGATACTAATTGTGTTCTTAGCGATAGTCAAGTTCACACGAAGATCGTTCGCTTACCGCATATGCAGCAAAGCCAGCGCAGACGTTGGAAAGTTGGGTCAAGACGGGAAGCCTGCCCTTGAGCATGCGCAACGGGATGACCGGGATTGCTCGTGTCCTTGCCTCAACAAAGAGGAACAGGACAAGCAACAGAACACTGCCAACAAGAGTCCCAATGACTACTGGGCTACCCCAGGGTAATTCATTACCGCCCAGACTGAGGCCGATGAGTTGGACGGACACGGCAGGTACCAGGAGAAGTGCTCCCGAAACATCAACGTGAGTCCAAACGGCCCGCAAGTCCTTTGTGTCGATATTGAACCCACCTTCAGGGTTCTTGATCACGAAGGCACCCAGGACAAGCGCCACGAGCGAAATGGGAACCTGTAGGAGGAAGCACCAACGCCAACCAATGTAGTCTGCGATTGAACCGCCAAATGAGGCGCCTGCCACTGCGCCAAAACCAAACATGCCGTTTTGCATAGCTTGGTACATGCCTCTCTTGCGGAAAGGGATCATATCGGAATTGACGATTGTTGCTGAGCATTCATTAGAACACCGACTCAGCGACTCAACCAGTGCACTCACCCATTGTCATCAACCCTCCACCGCCAAACCCTGTCAGTGCCCGCATGCAGTTGAGAACAACGATGTGATTTGCGAATCCACAACCGAGACAGCCAAGTCCAAAAGTGATGGTGCTGACGAAAAAGCATACTCTTCTTCCGAATATGTCGGAAAAGCGTCCTTAGAGTGGCTGAAACGCGGTGCTCGTCACCAGGTACGAAGTGGTGAGCCAAGATGCGGTGTTGGCGGCATCAAAATCGGAACTGATGATAGCGTATGTAGCCGCGGTGATCGTTCCGTCAAAGCCATATAAGAAAACGTTGGACATGATGGCAAGCTCTATCCATCCGAAGCCTGATGGTGGGGTCCAATCATCACCAGCATGCGCATCTGGCGATTGAAGCAGTGGCTGGTCCTCGCGAGGGGCCAGTGTCGTTTCCGAGTCCTCTGCCGCCTCTCTCGTAGCTGCCCCAGGCGGAATAGCATCTTGCGACTCTAGAATGTCTTCCTCGTCTTGCGAGTGAAGACGAGTAGACTTCATATTCAAATACAGTTGCTCTCCCCGCTGCAAGGCTGCGTGAATTACTGTACCGAGGCCGATTTGGTGCGCTTCCAGCGTCGACGTCCGTGACTAGACAAGGAGTTTTGCGACAGTGTCTCACAGTATTGATAAACCGATGGTCAGATGTAAGATTTTGAAGATTTCACAAACGCGGATCTCCACACGCCGTGGTCTGCATGCATTTTGCCCCTCTCGCAGCTGATGATGTAGGTGTGGATGTGGTTCGAGCACGCAATCGTGGGGGTACCACCTCAACGAACAATCCATGTAGTCCCAGCAGTTTGGCGCCTCTGACGTTCGTGGGGGCCTAAAACTTAATGTTCATCAAGGAAAGAGTAATCGCCAACTTCTTGATTCGCTGATGAATGCTGAACACGGTGAAAAGTTGATCTATTCTCCAATGCCAGGGTACGAACTCCGGATTTAGGCAAATATTCATCATCACGGGGTAGCGAAAATGAGCTTTCGCCATTCGCAAAGGTGAGATATTTCTGACGATATATCTCACGAAAAAGATTATTGTTGCGCAGTTGTACTTTCGGAAGTCGCTTGCATTTGCAAGTGATATTGTTCCTTGGGCACCTGAGCTCTGGACAGTTTGAACAGCCAATGTGGAAATGAAAGATGAAACTCCGGAGCGAAGATGTAATTGGAGGAACTCATGAACTTCTATTACGACCTAGTCCAACTTATAAATGAAAAGGATTCACCGCGAGCAGCACGTGTCATATGCGCAAAACCGCAGCCTCAACCAACGCCTATTCTTCAACTCCGTCCAGTATCGCACACGCTTTCTCTAGTCGTAAGGAGATCTCATCAATCTACGCCATCGTAAGTATAAATGCCAGTTGTGTGAAAATGGATATGAGTGATTACTCACATTCCGCGCGTCAAACACCTCAAAATGGTTGCAGTCAATCTCTAAAACAGGGATTTCCCGGCCAAGGAGTCTCTCCCAGCCTTTTAATTGCGCGGCTCGAAAGCCAACGTCGGAGAGCCAGGGGTACGAAACGCCGCAAAGCGCTCGGGTATCGATTGTCTTCTTGCAGACAATTGAAACGCAAGGAACATCACCTCTAAGAGGTAGAGGGCTGTATCTCTCCAAAAGACCTGCATGACGACGGAATTGGGCCTCGACGCAAGATCGCACTTTTGCTGCGGCCTCTGATTCGTGCAGGCTCGGAAGTTTCCTGACGACACGGGAAATGATCTCCCCTGGCAGGGACTCATGCTCAACTGGCAAGGGAGAATCGATGAGAATAATGCCTCTTGGCGAGTTTCCACGCTGTTGTAGTTGGTGGGAGACCTCAAGCGCGAGCACGCCACCGAACGACCAGCCTAATTTCTGTGAGCAAATTGACCAAGGAATTCGACCCCCACTGCCATTATTTGCACTCACCACAGAGAATTGGTCTCTTCTCAGACATCAAATTTGCTTGCATAATGTATCGGGATGCCAGCTCTTGCATGGACTGAATCGTAGGGTCAATGGCAGGGATATCGGGACTGAAGATGCCTCGCACAGACCGTCCAAGGGGCTTCACGCGAGTATACATGCTCGATAATCCGCTGCCATCGTGAAACAAGTAGAGAGATGGCTTATAGGGTGCTATGTCGGAGTTGCTGGTTTGCAAAATCTGAGGGAAGGTTGATGGGATGAGATGTGAGAAGAAGTCGGTGGCACCTCGTTCATCGTTTGCCTCTCGGAGGAGCAGTTCTGGCTCGGCGAGGTCGCAGGACTGGCCAGGTAAAGACACAAGGATTTCGCCAGAATGTTGGAAATTATTACTCGAAGATGCAATGTTGGCAGTGTAGAGAGCCTCAATGTTGTTGATGCTCATATTTGAGATGGTGGACTGTAGCGCCTCAAGATCCAACCTGAATCGATGGCGGAGTTCGTGAACGAGCTCGATGGAGAGCAAGGAGTCCACCCCAAGGGAAGCAAGACTTGCGTCCTTGTCGTCAGCGGTGATGGACCTCCCACATATATCCATGAACAGATCCCGAACTTTGGACGCAACATCGGTTCCCACAGGCTCTGTTGGTGGTGAGGGCAGGTTGTTGCCCTCAGGCACCAGCCGACCAGATAATACTGAGGGTGGCAGAGCCATGGAAACATCATCATGTCCTTGAGCCTTGGCCAGTAGCTGAATCAGGTCGTTCACAGTCTGGCATCTCTCTATCTCGCCCGTTGACACAACGAGATTTGGGAAACGCGACGCAATGGCCTGTGACAGCTCAATAAATAGTAAGCTGTCAATACCCAGCTCGGTCAACGTTCGACTAGAAGATGAATGCAAAGAGACGCCGCACACAGACTGAATCATGTGTTTCACGACCTCTGCCATAGATTCAGACGGCGTCGGGGGTACCTCTACCTGCAACCGTGAGCTGTTTTGTGGCTTCGGATTCCTAAGCAGTCCCTCAACCTGCTTGAGCAACGACTCGGTTCCATTTTTGCCTTCTGTTTGCGTTGCGCGGGACAAGACAGCTTGAAAAGAGCTGAGGCGGATCTTCTTGAAGCGCATTCCTTCCGCAAATGAAACAATATGGCCGTTTTGATCGAGAACATATGCATCTGCTAGAATGCTGTCGCCCACGTCGAGTAGGCTGCAGTAGATGTCCAATTGGCCACCTGGTTGAAGTTTCGACATGTCCGGAAGCACGATGCGGCCGAGGCTCACACATATACATGCTGTTTTGACATCCGTTCTGGCGTTCGCAATAAACCCGGCTGCATGGAGCAAGGTGTCCACGAACGGGGGTGGGGAGACGAATTTGCCAGACTGCGGAGTATCGGGGAGCTGGAACGTGCCGTAGCCTTCCAAACCAAAGGAGCTGATTGTAAGATGTTTAAGGGTCCGAAATGGCTCCGAATATGATACAACGCGAGGAAAGATGACATCGTAGATTGTTCGAGCAGAAAACGTCTCCAGGGTATTGGAAGTTGCGAGCTGGAATAAAATGGCCTTTTGCTTCCTGACGTACGCACTCTTCAACATGAAGAGCTCTTCGATGACCTGCTCAGCCATGGGGGAGATGGAACCGGAACAGTTGAGGTGGCCATGGTCGCGATTCAAAATGGAGAAACGGGATGATCCAAGTGAAGCGATTTGCCCGATCGACTGTACGTTAACTTCCACAACGTCTGACCTTACCTTTGAGAACACCAAAGGGTGTTCGAAGCAGACATCATGAACTGAGTACCATCTCGGGATGTTGAAGGTGGTATTGGTCACTGAAAGCGCCTCTAAGGCCAGTTCGAGGTAGACAGATGCTGGGCAGAGCGGGACGCCGCCAACAGCATGTGCCTCGATGAGTTTCGAGAACCTAGCAATCGGAACATGGAAAATGCTTGACCCATCTTTGAGAGCGGTCATGGTAGATGAGGCCAACAATTCGAAGCCAATTGAGGACAAGTCGGAATCCACGTCCTTAGCAGGCTTGTTTGTGGACATTGGCTCATGATATCGAACCACATACTCTTTGCCATCGAGAACCTGGCACGGTACCTCCTTCAAAAAGCGTGGTGACTCGTCTCTGAAAACTGCATTCCAGTTGAGGTCTCGCCCTGACTGGTAAAGGCCTTGAAGTGCGGATGTGATCGTTTTCCAAGGGGACTCGGATGGTCGCAGTGATGGCGAGTACGAATATGGAATTTGCGTGAAAGAAGACTTCAACATGGAACTTGCTGGAGGAAGTAATAAGTATCACTCAAGAATGACTGTGTAGAAATGGAGCCTGGTATGAGGATGAACGTACTTGATGTCGATGGTCCAATTTCGATCACCTGCAGAGTCGTTTGTGAATTGTTGGACTGAATATCTGCCAGAAGCTCCATGAACAAGACTGGCTGGCTTGTCTGGTTGACAAAATAGTCAGGTTTAAGGATCTCGTGTCCTTGTATCAGCTGTCCGAGAACGCTGGAGCCAACCTGTATGCTTGGCCGGCAGATGGCCATGGATGAGGCAACATTCCTCAGACTGGGCGTTATCGCATTCATGACTGGTGAATGGAACCCATAGGAAACATTCAGCAGCTTGTTTTTAACACCTTCGGCCTTTAACACCTCAGAAACTTGAACGAGGCGTGCGGTGGGACCGGCAATAACGCAGTCCTCTGGGCTGTTGCGGCATGCCACGACTAAGTCGTCAGTCGATGCAGCGAATCTTTTATCAAGAAATCGTGAGGCATCCGGAGGAGACATTCGACATGCCAGCATGCCAGACTCCCCTGCCTCGCAGTGGTTTACCATCAGTTCTGCTCTCCGAGCAACAAACAGCAAGGCATCTTTTAGCCCAAGGACCTCTGCAGTGACGAGTGCGGCATACTCTCCAATACTGTATACCATATTATATGAGTAGGGTGAAAGTAGCGTGATAGGGGTTAGTACTGACCTATGACCCAAAACTAGGTCGGGGGTCAACCCAAAGCTCCGCAGGAGCTGTGTCAACGCATACTGCAATACGAAGCATGCGCACTGGACCAAGATGATACCATCCCTTTCGTGCAAAGAACCATGGCTGAATGCAGAAGGTGTCGGGTCCAGGTAGGATTCGACTGTTGGAAATTCATGCCGCCGCAAGATGGTATCACATTCCCGTACGGCATTCCGAAAGACTGAAGATGTGCGCAGAAGCTCGGCACTCATGCCTTCGTGGGCACCGCCTTGACCTGCGAATACGAACACTGTTTTCGACGGTTTTGAAACAATTCGTTGCGGGGACGCAGCCGTTGTCTGTATCTGCACCAACAAGTCATCAATATTAGCCCCAGTGGCAGACCAACGGAATTCTTTGTGATGACGCCGCCTGACACTTGAAGTGTAGCATATGTCTTGTATCATGCAATGCCGGCTTTTTTCAAGGAAAGAGGTGTAGTCCAATCTCAGACGCTCGAGAGCTTTGGCGCTCCTCGCCGACATTGTCAGTAGATGCTGGCTGCGTTGTGATATCGGGACCCTGGTGGACGAGACTTCGCGAGGGGCTTCCTCAAGAATTAAGGCGGCGTTTGAACCAGCAGCGCCGAAATTGTTAAGGAGCGCTCGTCTAGGGTGACCCTTGGTCCTTGTCCACTTGCGGGGGCTGTTTGGGACTACAAAATTGTGCTCGTTGGCTAGGGGAGTCAGTCTGGGATTCAAAGTCTGGAAGGATCCCTGTCCAGGAATAGTTTCATGCTTCATCATAAGGAGAAGCTTGATGAGGCCAGCGATGCCTGACGCGGCCTCGACGTGGCCGATGTTTCCCTTGACAGAACCCAGATGCAGCGGATTGTCTGCTGGACGTCCTTTGAAAACGGAGGATAAACTTGACACCTCGGCAAAGTCGCCAGCTTGTGTGCCTGTACCATGCGCTTCAACGACGTCGATGCTTGCGGAGCTCAGCCTACTTCGATGGAGAGTTTGCGAGAAGAGCTCAGCCTGCGTTTTGTAATCTGGGTGCGTTATGGACTTCGCAGTTCCGCACTGGTTGACGCCGATGCTTCGAATGATGCCATAGACTTGATCTCCTTCTGCCCGGGCTTGAGATAGTTTCTTAAGAACGACCAAAGCACAACCTTCTGCTCGGCAATAACCGTCTGCCTCAGCGTCGAAGGGCTTACACTGGCCGGTGGGGCTCAAAAAGTGAGCTCTGGAAAGGCCAAGATACATCTAAGGGCAAGGTTAGTCCTGGATGCAAGGGCCTAACGGTCAGGGCAGAATCTGCGTACATCAGGACTTGAGATGACATTTACGCCACCCGCCAGCGCGGCTGTGCAATCTCCGGATTGCAAAGCTTTGCAAGCATGATAAATTGAGACCAGAGATGATGAACATGCGGTATCAGTGACGACAGAGGGACCTTTGAAGCCAAAGACATACGAGATGCGACCGCTCATAAATGCTCGTAACGTTCCTAGCAGCCGGCGTTAGATAGAAGGGTCAATGTGATTCAAGAATTGCAAGTCTTTGCATGTGATTAGCGGACTGTAGATCACTTACCTGGGCTGTAGTAGACGTCGATTTCATCTCTAAGATTGTCGACATAGTCACCTGTAGCTGCGCCAACGTAAACCCCAAAGGAGGCTTGCTGGAAACTGGGGGTAGCTCCAGGCGAATATCCAGCATCATCTAGGGCTTCAACAGCAGCATGCAGCAGGAGACGCTGCTGCGGGTCCATAGACTTGGCCTCTCTTGGAGATATGTTGAAATACTCCGTGTCGAAGGTGAAAGGATTGTCGAGGAAGTTGCCGTGCTTGGAACCCATCTGTCGGGGACTATCGAGGCTTCCGCTATTGGGCTGGTGATAGTCGGAGACCTTGAACCTAGAGCCTGGGATCTGTTGCATTCTGTCAGGTCAAATACAGCTATTTGTGAAATGAACAATTACCTCGGTAGCGCAACTTCGGGCGTTGTTGATGGTATTCCAGAACCCATCAAGCCCCTTTTCTCCAGGAAAGTTGGCAGATACACCGACAATGGCAATGTCATCGCCCACAAACATGTCTATCTCCTCTGACAAATGCCCGATGACTTGTATTCCAGTATCACGGATCTTATCCTTGTTTACGCCCAGCAAAGACTTGGCAGAGGGCCCTATTCCGATGACTCGAATTGTAGCATTCGTGTCATGGCGGATTTTCTCGGCATAGTCCGCCGTAGCTGTCTCCCAGGTGAGCTTCCAGTTAACAGAGTCGCAAAAGATGTTTTCAACAGCCATTCTGAGCAGTGATACACTCTTGTCGTTTGCTTGGAATTTTTGCCCTGTGGCCGTGGATCTCAGCGAAGCATGGAGTACAGACCAGTCGGGGAACTCGATGCCGTGGATGTCATTCTTGACTTGATCTGATACCAGCTTCATGTTATCACCGCCGTGATAAAAGCCGTGCACGTGCGCCCAACGACATGTGCCCGGCTCTGGAAGTGAAGCTATGGTGGACTTGAGCGTCTCCAGGCTGCGTCCTGGTCCAGTCACTGATACTGAATCTTCATCAAAGATTGCAGAGAGTCTCAGCGGCATGTCCGATGCCTGAGCCGGTTTCAATTAGCTTTCTGACCATATTTGATGAGAGTGAGGATTAAATACATACGTCAAGAGTCGAGTTGAGCTCGGACAAGCAGTTTTCAACCTGCGGGTTTCGCGTTTTGAAGATGCTTAAAACACAAGAGTTCGCTTCCCAGTCAGGCCCCATGACTGCCCTGCAGTGAAGAGAAGCTCGAAGTCCAATCCAGAAGGACACTCTGAAACCGCTGACTGCAGCGCTGACAAACTCTGCAGAATCATACGACGTGAATGCGGAGGCCAGGATAGCAGCCAAAGCTCCAGTACAGACCCCAGAGGCCTCTACAACCACGGAAGACTTGCCACGATAGCCTTGGTAGATGAAAAGCTCCAAAACTTGTCGCATAAATAAAGTTGTCGCTTGAAAGACCGGGTGAGAATGGAACGCCGGTGATGGGTACAGGAAATCATCCGATGTTGGAAAGAATGCCAGGGTATTGTCCGGAAATATCGATCGCTCGTTTTCAGACAGATTTCGGTAAAGACTCTCAAACAAGGCGTGACATTGAGACATGAATCTTTTCCAGTGTTTCTCAGTGCCGTCTTCAAGACGCTCAAGTAGGCTGACTGCTGTGTGTTTATCAGAAAAGTGCCCGTCGGACCCTTGCCCGGCAAAGACAAGCACATCCCGTGAGACACTCATTGTTCGAAGTTGCTTGTAGATGAAAATTTAAGCCTTTTGTAATGTTGAATGATGGCGGAAGTTGACCTTCTATCATTTGTGTTTAGAGTTTCAAGAATTGCTGTAGTCCGCGAGTTGAGTCTGAAGCGGCTGAGGGTCAGCTCAAGGCTGGTTCCTAGAAGCAGCGAGGCAAATACTCTTCTCAACTCTCAAGACTTTTTCAAAAGTATTGTCCATGCTGAAAGCATATGAAAAGGCTGACAAGTGGCCTGTTGGGGTTCACATACTCCGGTCCTTAGGCCCTGCGTACCCCCCGTGCTTGGTGAGGAGCAACCTAATCGTATGACTCCGGTCCCAGTCATTTTGACTAGAACTTAGCAAATCAGGGCCTCAAACCATATGTCTGGTCTTGCATTCTTTGGTTCGGGTAGTGACACGCAAGAAGCCTTATCTCGCTGGAAACGTTCGCGACAACAATCAACTGCCAACTACGTCCTCTCCCATAACCGCACATGCAACTTTACCCCTTAATTTCACCTAGAAAGATGCGGCACACATCCTCCAAAAGCTTCGTGCGACCTCGCTTCTATCCAAACCCCTCAAAGAGACTTTCGGGAACTTCTGATCAAGATGAAATATCCTCTCTTTCGGGGTTGATTCGTTTCAACGCCGAACATAATAACAAGGCAACATTCTGCGAACAGGCTTTATCAGTTCAAAGCCCAGCCTTTGATGAAGATGATAAAAGTTTTGGTAACAAGTACCATTCTTGCAGTATATCATATGGGCAGCTCTTTGCCGCAGTCAAGGCCTGCGCAGCCTGGATAGGCAAAGCTTTGCCTGGAGCTTTAATGGGGGATCACAGACCAATTGCGCTTTACATGGAAAGCGATGTTGGTCTGTTCATCTATCTAGCAGCTCTGGCGGAAATGAAGATTCCGGTAAGAGTTCCAGTGGTTCAGCCCCATCACAACTACAAGTCCTGACCGTGAAACAAATAGCTTTTACTAATATCAGCAAGACTTGGTCCGCCAAGTGTTGTTCATCTTCTGAGAGAAACAGGGGCAGCCTTCATACTGGTCACGAAACGAACCAAGTTCATGATACAGCAGAGCGCCATTGGGGGTGTGGGCTTGACTGAGGTGCTGCATTGGCAGGAATTTCTTCACGAAACGGATCCAGGCGGTGGCCTAGACGTCGATGGAGAGATGTTTCAGCATACCATAAGTCCAACGGCTGAAAGTACTCTCCATCTCGAGTTAAGTTCAAGTGTCGACGGCATAGATCCGGGAACAAACGTTGGAGCTTTCATCCTTCATTCCTCCGGGACGACCGGCCTTCCAAAGCCCATTTATCTTGCACCACGCTATATTTTGGGCTACGCTGCCTGCCATGAAATCAACGAGGACGAAGTTTGCTCAAGAAGCCTCTCAACCTTGCCATTGTATCATGGCTTTGGATTACTTGCGCCATGTCTGAGCCTCTCCATCGGAATGGCCTGCTGTTTCCCTCCGGCCTCCGTCATCCCAGCAGGGCGATCAACTGTTGATCTGCTTCGACTATTCAAAGCAGAAGCATTGTTGACCGTCCCCAGCATTGTTGAGGACCTTTTATCGCTTCCTGACGATGAGAAGATCGTTGCTGTGAACTCGCTCAAGACGCTGGCATTCGTTGCTGTGGGTGGTGGAGCATTGAGACCAGACCTTGGCACGCATCTGGTTGAAAATAAGATCAGGCTCGTCAATCATTACGGCGTCACTGAAATCGGGGCCATCGCACCAATCTTCCACCCTGGCCCCGACTACGACCATCACTACCTACGACTGCGTGAGGATCTCGGGCTTCATCTCCAGCCCATCAAAGGGTCTGAGCGCTTCAAACTTATTGGATACCCCGTCGGCTGGCATACGCCATTCGAAGTACAAGATGAACTAGAGCGAAATCAGGACAACTCTTCCAGAATGGAGTACGAATCATTGCCGCATGGACGATGTTATGTCCTCAAGTCAGG